GCAGGCAGGTCCAATCTCCTCCCGGGTTTAAAGCCAATGCAAAACCTAGTAGGGTCGGTCACATTGATTAAGGAGGAACCGGAAACTGTACTTGGGTTTTGTTCCACTCATCCACAACTCTATTACCAAACCAAAATTTCCTATATCCTTCCTGAATCTAAATTTTTTCCAACAAAAAACCATTGGGGGTCCTGTCTAGGCTATATTTTTCAGACAAAAATTACACCCCCTTTTTTCCCTGTTTTCCATTTATCACCTAAATCAATCCCCCCTAATTCTACGTCTTTCTAGAGATGAAGATTCAGGGCCCTTAGCTACCTCATAGGAAGGTTTCTGATACATGGGATCAATTTTGTCATCCTCCTTTGAAATTTTTCCCAGAGCATTTAATCCATTCTGTAATAGGTGACCAAAACTTGCAGCAAAATCTAAATGGGGCCCAAAAGGGATGTATAGATTTGGGAAAAAACCTGAGGACTCCTATTTTTTATGCTTTTTGATTGAACCCAAAGGATTCTTTTGTTTATTTGCGAACACTTAGCACGTTGTCTTGGGTTTTTCAGTTTATGTAACCAACCCCCAAAAAACTTTTTCGCAATCCGAATTTTAAAGATCTCATTATTTATTTATATGTTGCATGGTTATTGCCCTTTCCCAACATTTGAACTTTGCATTTGTCTATATTAAACGCTCTGCCTTCTCCGCCCTGCCAGTTATTCAAATCTTCCTGGATGCTCTATGTCCTCTCAGAATGAATTCGAGGGCCTATTTGGTGCTTTGGGCAAACTTCTGATGTCCTCTTTACCCTATCTATTCTTTACGTAGATTGAACAGCAGGGGGCCCAACACTGACCCTGTGGAACCCCGCTCGTGACGCTTCCCCCTCTGTTTCTCCATTTGTGCAAACCTCTGCCCCTATTTGTCAACCTTGCCTCAAACCAGGAAATAATTTTTCCTTTTCCCAGTCCCTTAATTTTCCTTAGTCCTGATGGGGAACCCTGTAAAAGCCTTACTGAATCCATATCACAAAGATCATGGTAAAAATTTGATATTGTGTATAGGACTTCAGTAAGGCTTTTGACGGGGCCCCACATCGAGACATTGAGGAAAATTAAAGCACATGGAATAGGAGGAGAAATTTTTCCGGGATAAGGCAGGGGTTTGACAAATAGCAGCAGAGAGTTTGCATAAAGGGGAGAAATCAGAGTGGGGAAGTGTCCGAGCGGTTTCCACAGGGGTCAGGTTGGGCCCCCTGTTTTTCACAATCTACATAAACGACATAGATGGGGCAAAAAAGCGACATCGCAAGTTTGCCGATGACACCAAAATAGGCCGTCGAATTCATTTGACGGGGCATTCGACATCCAGAAGATTTGAATAATGATGATGGTCGGAGAAGTGGCAGATGCATTTTAATATAGACAAAAACAAAATTCTAATGTTGGGCAGGACAATAACCATGCCCCAAAATAAACTAAATAAGTAGATCTTAATATTTCCGGGTTGCGAAAAAGTTTTTGGGGTTCTGGTAGCATAATCTGAAACCAAGACAACAGGCATAATGTTCGCAATAAAGCCAATAGAATCCTTGGCTTCATTCAAGAAGCATAAATAAAGGAGTCCTCAGGGTTTTTCTTCACTCTAACACCCTTTGGGTTTGGCCTCATTTAGATTTTTCGCACAGTTTTGGGCACCGTATTACAAATGGATTAAAATTTTCCCGGAAAATGTACAAAGGGGGATGACAAAGTTGATCCCATGTACAGAAAAATCCCTATGAGGATAGACAAGGGGCCCCGAAACTGCACCTCTGAAAGACTAGAATTTGGGGGGAATATTGAGGTGTAAAATGGAAAACAGGGAAAAAATAAAGGGGATGAAATAGTGTGCTGAAAATATCTAGCCTAGACAGGATCGCGCAAGGTTTTAATTGGGAAAAATTCAAATTCAGAAGGTATAGGAAAGTATGGTTGGTAAATTGTGGGGTGAGGGAAAAAAATCCCAAGTACCGTTATAGAGGCCAGAACGTTTTTTAGCTTTAAAAATAGGTTTGGGTAAAAATAGTAGATGGGGTGGGTGTGATTAGACCTGATACTTGTGCTACCAGGGCGGTTTCCGTGTTCCTCCCTTTAAATCAATGTGACCCGACCGACGGGTTTGGGGGGATTGGCTTAAGCCGGAGGAGACTTGGGCCGCGTTCCCCTTCGTTCTTATGTTCTTTCATTTCATTACCAGTTACCTCCCAAAAACCTTTGTGAAAAAATTAATAAATTCTAAGAAGGAACCCCCTTTGTAAAACCGCTGAATTCGTTGATTAATTTTGCTTTTTAAGGGGTACGAATGCCTTTGGCAATTTTTGTTCCCTAAATTTTCCCACTTGAGGTTAGGCTTTTTGGTCTATATTCGAAGCTAAGGACCTGCACCTGCTTTGAAAAATTATCACATTGCTATTTTCCACTTATCTGGGACCATGCCCGTTTTTTAGTGAATTTGAAAAGATTTCCAAAGATTTGCTAAGCTCCTCTTTACATTCCTTAGAACCCTTGCATACGTTCATCAGGGCCTGGGGGTTTGTTATTTTAATTTATTATTTGCCCAAGGACCAGTCACTTGGCCCTAATAGTGACAGTTTATTATCGTCCTTTTCTACAAATTTATCATTACTGGAATAAACGCTGGTATCCCCTGTGTAAAAACGGAGGAAGTAGTTTAAAAATTTACACATTTCCCTTTTCCTGTCAGGGGTTACCCCCGGGGGCTTTTTAGTGGGCCCTTTTTTGTCCCTGACTTTCTTTTATACCTGAAAGAATCCCTTTTGGGTTAGTCTTTGATTTTCTTTTCAACTTTAACCTCATAAACCTTTGCTTTTCTAATTTCCCCTTTTTTTTTTTTAACTGAATATATGATTTCTTAATTGCCCCTTCCTCTTTTATTTGCCTAATATCCTCTCTTTTGACCCAAAAGATATTTTAACTATTGTTCAAACCTTTAAAGGGTAATTTTTGTTTGATCTATTTTCCCATTTGGAACTAAAAAGACTGAGCACTGAACTAGCCCTGGAAAAACGTCATATCGGAACCATCACCACCTACCGACCCCTTTTGTCAGGTCATTTTAGTTCAGCCCACCTAATAATTTTTTGCCATAAAACACCAAGCGAAAGTCAGGAGGGGACTTGATTGCCATTATTAGGGGAATTCCATATATATTAAAACTGAGTGATTTTAACCTTTCCTAAGCTCACATTTTAACTCAAATTATTTAAATTTGTGTTTTTCCCCACGGAAAACCAAGTCAAGGGGTTATTTTTCCCCATTAGCTCTGCACAAATGTTTAAAAAACAATCCGGATCGTAACAAGAAATCACTTGCTTAAATTTCCTGTCAAATTGCTCCCGTCAATCTGTTATAGTTGAAATCTCCCCTTAGCACAAAATTTTTGATAAATTAGAACATGTCAACTCTTGGGGACTTTTAAAGAGGAAAAGTTTTTGCCCCCTGTGTGGGAAACGTTTTTCCCCATAAAGATACCCAAGAGTTGCCATTCTAAAATTTTCAACATGTCGGTTTTTTAACCATCCCCCACAACATTTTCGTATGTAGTGCCATAAAAATTTGTCCCCTAGAATTTACTGCACTCCCTATCAAGATTTGGGGCCCGTAAATACACCCAAAAATTGTTGGGATAAAAGGGTTTGAATTTTTTCACGATTCCAGGACTGTTTACCTTTGACCAAGGTGAGGGATGTTTAATCCTCCTCCTGTTCTTCACCATCCTCCTTTGTATGGCTGATGAGGTCACTGTAGGGCGAAACGTTTCCTCAGTAAAGATACCAAGTGTTGAACATGTCTAATTATTAACATCATGAAACGTTTCGCCTAAGCAGTAGGTTTCTTCAGTCGGATACAAAGGGAGAAAAAGTATTTGAGGCGGTCAGTCCCTCAGCCTTGGAGTCGGTGAAGACTGCCGAAGTCTTGACGAATCTGAAGCACCGGCTCTTCCTTCTTAAGTGGCTGTGACTTTGACCTGCCTAGCACGGGCCAGTAGGCCTGCTGCAGTGCTCATTTCTTGTCGTATACTGGCGTCACGTGAGGGACTTCACGGTCTTCAAGGCCGAGGGACTGATCACCTTGTGTTTTTTATATAATTCTAGTCTTCCCATCATGTCCTTGTACTGATAAAGCCACTGGAGGGCGAAACGTCTACAAATACATATCAAAGTACTCCACATCAACGATAAGCTGACCCTTTACCATGACCCCGTCTTGCACACTGATTGGTCAAATGCTCCTCAATGATCCCGTCGTAAATCACTTCTCTTGGTTCGTTCATTCGTAGTAAAATATACTTTATAAGTTAAATGGCCAAATGCGACCACTGGCAGTAATGCTACACTTTTACACTGGGGATAGTACACGTACAATTGGTGCCTTAGTACACGTACAATTGGTGCCTTAGTACACGTACAATTGGTATATGCGAGGCTGGTCTTTACGTCACTTTTCCGCTCTGCTGCCTCTTATTCTCCCTCTCCCCTTTCTCCATATCTCCCTATTCTCCTCACTTTTCTCCCTATGCTCATCCCCTTCTCATTCTTCTCCCTCTACCTTATTCTCCCTATTCTTCCTCTCCATTCTCGTCTACTCCCTTCACACTAATCTCTCTACATCTCCCTCTGTCATTAACCTCCCCTCTCTCTATACTCCTCTCCCTTTCCATACTCACTCTTTCTACCCCCACTAGCATCCCCCTCTTCCCCCACTTCCTCTCACCCATCACCCACTGATAGAGCGGCCTTGCAGATGAGAGGCAGCGAACTGTGATGTAACTCGGGGGAGATGCCAGGGAGGGAGGGTGGTAGGGGGATGCTAGGGTGGGAGATGGGAAGGATTTAAGGAAGGATGGATGTCAGCTAGGATGTCAGCTAGGCCTGTTATATCTTGTAATTGTTGTAAATATATTATTATTATTATAACTGTCTGCTGGGTGTTACAGGAGGGAAGCTTGGTCCGGACTCGCCAGCCTACCATTACTACAGTTTGATGGCTGGCACGGAACATACACGCACCATAGCTGCCGTGGCCCTCATTTCACAGACAGCCACACGTATCCTGGCTGTCAGGTAAGACACACCTCCACATTATATTTTAAACTATATTGTCGTAGAGAGTAAAGCTACCATTGAAATGCTGAGATTACTTCATAAATCAGCCTGAATACAAGCCACAACACCACGGTGTTGTGGATGGGCTAGTTACCAAATAACCCAGAATACCGTGGCAGAGGTAGGGACCTAGGTAGGCAGGGATGTAGGTTGGGAGGTAGGTATTGAGGCTGGTAGGTAGGATAATGAAGAACACCTACCTCCCCCATGCTAATCCCCCATGATCCAAACAGGCCACAGAAGCCGCCATGTTTACGAATCCGGTTCTTGGGTTGCCTTCTCGCGGATTCACTCAGATTTACCCTCGCAAGAACGCCCTTGAAGAAGCTATATCCTCCCTGCCTCTCCCTCCCTGCCTCTCCCTTCCTCCCGTCTTCAGAGCACGGGAGTGAGGGAGAGTAGAGAGTGGTTGAGTGGAGAGGTGGGGGGTTCTGAATGTGTGGAGAGGTGGGGGTGGTTCTGAGTGTGTGGAGAGGTGGGGGTGGTTCTGAGTGTGTGGAGAGGTGGGGGTGGTTCTGAGTGTGTGGAGAGGTGGGGGTGGTTCTGAGTGTGTGGAGAGGTGGGGGTGGTTCTGAGTGTGTGGAGAGGTGGGGGTGGTTCTGAGTGTGTGTGAGAGGTGGGGATGGTTCATGAGTGTGTGGAGAGGTGGGGTGGTTGAAGTGTGAGTGGAGAGGTGGGGGTGGTTCTGAGTTGTGGAGAGGTGGGGTGGTCTGAGTGTGTTGGAGAGGTGGGGGTGGTTCTGAGTGTGTGGAGAGGTGGGGGTGGTTCTGAGTTTGTGGAGGTGGGGGTGGTTCTGAGTGTGTGAGAGAAGGTGGGGGTGGTTCTGAGTGTGGAGAGTGGGTGGTTCTGAGTGTTGGGGAGTTAGGTGTAAGGGGTGGTTCTGAGTGTGTGAGAGGGGGGTGGTTCTGAGTGTCGGAGAGGTGGGGGTGGTTTGAGTGTGTGGAGAGGTGGGGTTGGTTCTGGTGTGTGGAGAGGTGGGGTGGTTCTGAGTGTGTGGAGAGGTGTGGGTGGTTCTGAGTGTGTGGAGGTGGGGGTGGTTCTGAGTGTGTGGAGAGGTGGGGTGGTTTGAGTGTGTGAGATGGGGTGTGGTTTCTGAGTGTGTGGAGAGGTGGGGTGGTTTGAGTGTGTGGAGAGTGGGGGTGTTCTGAGTGTGGGAGAGGTGGGGGTGGTTCTGAGTGTGGGAGAGGTGGGGGTGGTTCTGAGTGTGGGAGAGGTGGGGGTGTTCTGAGTGTGTGGAGAGGTGGGGTGGTTCTGGTGTGTGGAGAGGTGGGGTGGTTCTGAGTGTGGTGGGTGGGGGGTGTCTGAGTGTGGTGAGAGGTGGGGGTGGTTCGAGTGTGTGGAGAGGTGGGGGTGGTTCTGAGTGTGTGGAGAGGTGGGGGTGGTTCTGAGTGGTGGAGGGTGGGGAGTGTTCTGAGGTGGGAGAGGTGGGGGTGGTTCTGAGTGTGGGTGAGGTGGGGGTGGTTCTGAGTGTGTGGAGAGTGGGGTGGTCTGAGTGTGTGGAGAGGTGGGGGTGGTTCTGAGTGTGTGAGAGTTGGGGGTGGTTCTGATGTGTGTGGTGAGGTGGGGGTGGTTTCTCTCGTGTGGAGAGGTGGGGGTGGTTCTGAGTGTGGAAGGTGGGGGTGCTTCTGAGTTGTGTGGAGAGTGGGTGGTTTCTTGAGTGTGTGGAAGTGGGGTGGTCCTGATGTGTGGAGAGTGTGGTGGGTGGTTCTGAGTGTGTGGAGAGGTTGGGGTGGTTCTGAGTGTGGGTGAGGTGGGGGTGGTTCTGAGTGTGTGGAGAGGTGGGGGTGGTTCTGAGTGTGTGGAGAGGTGGGGGTGGTTCTGAGTGTGTGGAGAGGTGGGGGTGGTTCGAGTGGTGGAGAGGTGGGTGGGTTTTGAGTGTTGAGAGGTGGGGGTGGTTCTGAGTGTGTGGAGAGGTGGGGGTGGTTATGAGTGTGGGAAGTGGGGGTGTTCATGTGTGAGAGGTAGGTGGTTCTAGTGTGGGGTGATAGGCAATAACTGTACAACCACTGCCATGTAGATCAGTAAAAACTAGTAACCCGGTTGCTAGTGTCAGTGAACCCATGTCTTTCAGTCTCTCTCTCTCTCTCTCTCTCTCTCTCTCTCCTCTCTCTCTCTCTCTCTCTCTCTCTGAAAAAAATAGTGAAAACTTTTATCTAGGATACTTGTGAATTCTGTCTATAAAGTTAGGATCGTACAGCAGGAAGTTCCCCCTCCTGGGAGGGGAGGGGGAACACGAGGGGGAGGGGGAACACGAGGGGAGGGGGAACACGAGGGGAGGGGGAATACGAGGGAGGGGAGCAGGAAGTTATCCTAGGTCAACAAATATTTACGTCTCCCTGAGAAAATTATTGTGGGTGGGAGAGGATGTGGGTGGGAGAGGATGTGGGTGGGAGAGGATGTGGGTGGGTGAGGATGTGGGTGGGTGAGGATGTGGGTGGGGGAGAGGGTGTGGGTGGGTGAGGATGTGGGTGGGAGAGGATGTGGGTGGGTGAGGATGTGGGTGGGAGAGGGTGTGGGTGGGAGAGGGTGTGGGTGGGAGAGGATGTGGGTGGGAGAGGATGTGGGTGGGAGAGGGTGTGGGTGGGAGAGGGTGTGGGTGGGAGAGGGTGTGGGTGGGAGAGGGTGTGGGTGGGAGAGGATGTGGGTGGGAGAGGATGTGGGTGGGAGAGGATGTGGGTGGGAGAGGATGTGGGTGGGTGGGGTAGGTTAGTAGGGGTGAAGAAAGTCTCTTTAATCTGTTCTACTATCTCATCTTTATTCTCCTCTATTCTATTGTCTTCTTTATTCTCTTCTATTCATTATTCTCTCTTCTCTCTCAGGCATCCAGAGAACGGCCAGTCTCTCGTTTCTCCTCCCTCCCCCCTTTATTATCCTTTTCCATTTCTTACCTCTTCCCTTTGCCAATTTACCCATTTTCCTATATCTCTTCTGCTTCTCTTCCTCTCTTGCTTTCTCCAATTCTTACTTTCTCTATGCTTACGTTATTATTTTCCATCCCTCTTCCACTCTTTCCACTTCCTCTTTATTCCTCTCCTTCCCTCATACCTTGCTCTTCTTTCTCTCCTTTCGTTCCTCTTTCCCTCTACCTCCCCCCACCCCCGCATAATACCCCCCATCACTTCCCCTCACAAACTAGTGTCGAGTCTACAACTTTCACTTCTCCAGCCATCCTAGTGTGGGCGGACCCTCCCTGTGTGTGTGTGTGTGTGTGTGTGTGTGGTGTGTGTGTGTGTGTGTGTTTGTGTGTGTGTGTTTGTGTGTGTGTGTGTGTGTGTGTGTTTGTGTGTGTGTGTGTGTGTGTGTGTGTGTTTGTGTGTGTGTGTGTGTTTTTGTGTGTGTTTTTGTGTTGTGTGTTGTGTGTTTGTGTTGTTTGTGGTGTGTGTGTTTGTGTGTGTTGTTTGTGTGTTTGTGTGTGTTTGTGTGTGTTGTGTTGTGTGTGTGTGTTTGTGTGTGTGTTTGTGTTGTGTTTTGTGTGTGTGTGTGTGTGTTGTGTGTGTGTTTTGTGTGTGTGTGTTTGTGTGTGTTGTTTTGTGTGTTTGTGTGTGTTTTGTGTGTGTTTGTGTTGTTTGTGTGTGTTTGTGTGTTGTTTGTGTTTTGTGTGTGTGTTGTTGTGTGTGTGTGTTTTGTGTTGTGGTTTGTGTGTGTTGTTTGTGTTTGTGGTGTTTGTGTTTGTGTGTGTTTGTGTGTGTGTTTGTGTGTGTGTTTGTGTTTGTGGTGTTTGGTGTTGTGTGGTGTGGTGTGTGTGGTTGTGTGTGTGTGTGGTTGAACTCACCTTGTTGAGGTTGCGGGGGTCGAGTCCAAGCTCCTGGCCCCGCCTCTTCACTGATCGCTACTAGGTCACTCCCCCTGAACCGTGAGCTTTATCATACCTCTGCTTAAAGCTATGTATGGATCCTGCCTCCACTACATCGCTTCCCAACCTATTCCACTTCTGACTAGTGTGTGTGTGTGTGTGTGTGTGTGTGTGTGTGTGTGTGTGTGTGTGTGTGTGTGTGTGTGTGTGTGTGTGTTTGCGCGTGCGTGCGTTTGCGCGTGCGTGCGTTTGCACGCGCGTTTGTACATTAATTTTTTAATATTGAATAGGCACGGGCGTCGGTCCCTCAACCTTGATAGTGATGGTCAGTCCCTCAACCTTGATAGTGATGGTCAGTCCCTCAACCTTGATAGTGATGGTCAGTCCCTCAACCTTGATAGTGATGGTCAGTCCCTCAACCTTGATAGTGATGGTCAGTCCCTCAACCTTGATAGTGATGGTCAGTCCCTCAACCTTGATAGTGATGGTCAGTCCCTCAACCTTGATAGTGATGGTCAGTCCCTCAACCTTGATAGTGATGGTCGGTCCCTCAACCTTGATAGTGACGGTCAGTCCCTCAGCCTTGATAGTGACGGTCAGTCCCTCAGCCTTGATAGTGATGGTCAGTCCCTCAGCCTTGATAGTTGATGGTCAGTCCCTCAGCCTTGATAGTGATGGTCGGTCCCTCAACCTTGATAGTGATGGTCAGTCCCTCAGCCTTGATAGGTGATGGTCAGTCCCTCAGCCTTGATAGGTGATGGTCGGTCCCCCAGCCTTGATAGGTGATGGTCGGTCCCTCAGCCTTGATAGGTGATGGTCGGTCCCTCAGCCTTGATAGGTGATGGTCAGTCCCTCAGCCTTGATAGTTGATGGTCAGTCCCTCAGCCTTGATAGTTGATGGTCAGTCCCTCAGCCTTGATAGTTGATGGTCAGTCCCTCAGCCTTGATAGTGATGGTCGGTCCCTCAGCCTTGATAGGTGATGGTCGGTCCCTCAGCCTTGATAGTGATGGTCGGTCCCTCAGCCTTGAGAGGTGATGGTCGGTCCCTCAGCCTTGATAGGTGATGGTCGGTCCCTCAGCCTTGATAGGTGATGGTCGGTCCCTCAGCCTTGATAGGTGATGGTCGGTCCCTCAACCTTGATAGGTGATGATCGGTCCCTCAACC